TTTCTTTCCTTCTTTTCGTTTACTCTTTTGGCGAAAAAAGTCGAAGAGAAGGGAAAAAAGTTGATTCGAATGTTTCACTTCCTAGCAAACTTTTTCTTTACATCGTCTACCATTCATGGCCTTTACTCACTCGTCTTTCATATCATCTTGAACCATCTTCAGAGTAAGCTACTTAATTCCTTTTCATCCTGTTCTCCATGAAACTCTACTTGCACCCCTTTTCCCTGAAACTAAACTCAAATCTTACTTTGATCATCATCATCATCAGTATCAGCAAATGATTCTCTTCCTTCTTCTCTCATCATTTACCAGCTTCCATTGTCTTCTCACTCTCTTAGGTATTCAAAATTTTCGTTTTTTTCGTTTCTCATTATTATTCTATATTCATCAAATTCAGAGTCATTCTCCTTTTATTCAACTTTACTTTTTCCAAATCTATTTTTTCACTCTTATGCAGGGATTGATACAAAATCCGGAAACTGTAAACGATACTTACAAGGGAAGCACCCCAGGTCATCTGAATATAAGTTAATATTTTTATCATAAAACAATTAAGTTTTATGTTCATTGAATATCCTCGAAATCTTACGGGTAGCAAATCAAAGATAAACTAGAAAACAGAATCAAAATCAATTTTCTAATTGCAATCAGTACACAGAACTAAATGAATAAGACAAAGAGGCTCATCGCAATGGGAACATACTGCTTTCACACTGCTGTAACCTTTTCGGACGTTCTCTCCAATTACTGATAAAAGGTTTGTCTCAACGTAAAATTTTCGTACTAACAATTGTAAGTTGAAAACTAATCACAAAGTTTGGGGACGAAGTTTTTGTTGTAAAATGGTTCGTTCAAATTGAAAGGAAAAGTTGCTTGGAGTTTTTCATTGTTTGTTTGCCTATTTGTAATGTTACCAGATAAGATGTTGGATGAAAGTTTAATTGCAATCTGAATCTGGTGAATGTGTTAAGATATTCATTTTGTTAACGCAAATTGCTGTTTGTATGAAGACAAGAGAGAAAAAACAAAAGGTATTATTAGAGGTAAAAGATATTAACAGAGAGTGAAAGAGGTTTGCGAAGTAAATAGGAGAGTGATAAAGTTTAAGGGAAAACTAAACGAGTTTAACAAGGTTTAACAATGCAATTGTTTATATCCATTGTTTCCTAAATAATTGATTAGCAGTATAATTTTTAGATGAAGCTTAGTGAATAAGTTAAAGCTGGAAGGGAAAATGAGCTTTTCATTGGAATTTTGGAGAATAGAAGAAGAAAAAGAAGAAGAGAAAAAAAAGGTTGGAAGAAAAGTTGAATCTCGCTCTGTTTTTACCCTTTTCCTTTTTTCTTTCATTCTCTTTCTCATCGACCATTTGTTCATTTTTATCATCATTATCATCATCTTTCTTTTGCCTTTTTCCTTTTCTGTACAGCAAAAGTTCTTTACAAGAATGAGAAATGAACAGGGAATGAAAATGAGATTGAGAAGAAAGAAGATGGTGAAAAGTGAGAATCAAGAGAAAAGATAAAGTGATAATTCTTTGACCCAAATGTTAGACTGAGATGGTGTTTGATAAAGGATTTGTGACTTGTTGAAACGGTTTGGGTGAAAAGATTTTCATTTCATGAATCAAAGGAAAAGAAGAAAAAATGGCTCAAATTTTTGCTTCTTTTCTTCCCTCTTCTCTCTCTCTCACTATAAAAATAATTAATGGCTTCAATTATGATTACTTATTTAGGAGTAATTTTCTTGTTCACTTTTGCCTCCCTGCATCATGATAATGATAGAGACAGATATTTAGCTTCAACAGAATTGTTGACAGACGCAAATTTTTTTTGATAAATAATTTTACCAATTGAACTAGAAGGGAATGGGTGAGAAAAATGATAAGATGGTTAAGAAGGGTGAAGAAGAATGACAGAAAAGAGCAAAAAAAAGAGTTTATAAGAAATGATGAGGAGAAGAGGTTCGTTGTAATGTATTACAATAAAACGTTTAGTGAATTTAATATGTTGTGTTAAAGATTGAATGATGATGGAGATAAAGTTGAAATGAAAGCAAGTTAATAAACTATTCACTTGAGAAGGTGATATTGATAATAATAAAATGATAATGATTCAAGAGGATGAAGAGAGTTGATCAAAGATGAGGGAAGAAAAGGTTGTTGAGTGTTTGCTTTCCCTTGGCCTTGTTTCAAGACAACAGTTTTTAACCATTTAAGTTATGAATCAAAGTGAGTCTTTATTCATTAAACAACCCAACTTGTTACCTAATAAATCACATTCCAAGAAAGCTTTTATGGTTAAACTAAATTAATCCCATCGACTCATCTTCATTACCATGAATCAACGAGACTCTTGATTCTTTTCTTTACTTTCACTTTACTGTGCTTCTATTCAATATTCATATTCAACTCGAGTCAACTTGCAATTAGTTGAACCCTCAAATTGAATTATGCTTCAATGTGCCGACTTTAATAACATTTTGCCAAACTCTAGTCACTTTCAATTGTTCAATTAAATTCAATTTCACTGCCAGTTCATGTTTCACTTTTTTTCATTTCTTTCGAGTTGTTTCTTCATTATTGTCTTTTTCATTTGGAAATTGAAAATTGAACAAAAATCTTTTGATATAGCAGAATTGAAATTCAACTATTTACACTTTTTCATTTTTCACTTTCATGATGTCAGCAATTTGAAGAATCAACTTTTTGAACATTTTTCATTTTTTCGTTTTAATTGTTTTCGTTTATAAATAGTGAATGAAAATTGAATTGATTAGTTTGCAATTTAGATTTTCTAATAATTGAATCATTCCAAATTAATTTCGACTTCATGACTTGAAGCATTTTCCAAATGTTGAGATTTTTTGTCTTTGCAATTAAAAATTGCATTTCAACTCGAAAATAAAATGTTCAATGTTAGCGAGGAAAAGACTAACATTAATTGCAATGAGATTTTTTGATTGTTTACTGCATGAGTTTTGACCTTTTGCATTTTGCCTTTTCTGGTTCAACCGCACCTTATTGCACTTCTCAGTTCGAGATTTTTTTCATTGAGTGATCAATCTATTTACCTTTAGTTCTGTATATTATATTTCGTTTTGATAATCTACTCAGATTCCATCTTTTAATGTGATATAACATGTTCTAAGTATTTTTTGTCATCATTTTTATATCTCAATTGTTATCTCTTTATATGTTGTATTACTTTTTATTTTACCAAATTGTATGAGATTAAATTGTCCAAAAAAGTGGTATAAAGGCTTTACTACAAGTACTTGTATGGCTCATCATCATCATCATCATCATCGGCAACATCATTATCATCCGCATCCTCATCATCTTCTCCCGTATTTATCTTGATACAGATACTGTTCATCACACCACAGGGTGATTCGATATTGTCTGTATTTTTTTCCTCCACGAAAAATGAACTCTTCAAACTCTATCAAATAATCCTTTTCTGGTAACCCAATTCGGAATTAGTATCAAAACAAGGAAAAGAAGAAAAGAAAGAAAATAAGAAATAAAAAACGAAACTTTCACTTTTCTCGTAACATTATTTTCATTATTATTATTATTATCATCATCATTTCAAGTTTACAATAATCTTTAGTAATAATGATAGTCTCTTGAGCATCAAGTTCATTCTCACTTTATTTCAAATTGTTTAGCTTAACTTTTTTTCACTGCTTTAGTTTCATCATCCTTGTCTAACTTAATCTAAAAGTTTGTTTACTTTTGAAACAATTTTACCACCAAGACAATTAGCTTGACGGCTAACTTTCAATTCTTGTATGGAAAGAGACTTTTTTTGTCAATTATCGCTGTTTGGCATAGCTTAAGAATGTACATTTTTCACATTGAAAAAGAGCAAAATTTTTGAAAAAATGAATTTAAGATTTGACAATTCTGTAATAACGCTTAATTGTCCTATTGATGATTTGTAAATGCATAGCAATAAGCTCACAAATATTTTGTGAATGATGGTTGTTAATGACAGATAGAATCAGCCGCTGAGCTTTAAGTTTAGCAAGGAAGTTTAGAAATGAATTAAGTTGCATTAGTTTCTTCATGCGTGCACTTGTACGGAATCGAATAACGGTTTAAGATACTCTAGACTCTCTTCTATTTTACACTATCAAACAATATTTCCTCGCCCTTGAAATATATAAATTAGCTTTGCAACTTTTCTTTTGTCACAAACGCCAAATTGCTCATTGTTTTTCAATGAATAGAAATTATTTTTTTGTTAAATAAAAATCTGCTGGTCATAGATTGTGATGATGTATCCGTAATGTATCCGCTTTCTTCATAGAGTCCCTCGCCTCCACTTCCTATTCATACAACGGTTTGACTCAAAGTATGAAAAAATTTCGCGGTTTCCCGGACAAACTCCGGGTCAATGGTCCGGCGATTGGTCCTGCAGCCCCATTCGGAACATTGATCTGCACACGAACGAGTTTGCGAGATTCTTCTGGGGGTGGTTGTTTATTTGAAGAGCCAGGTAGCATTGATTGTGCATTGCGGCGGGATGACCGTGTGGTGAGTTGAATGTTGACTTGAAGTCCAATTCATTAACGTAAGACTGAAGAGTATAAAAGTTTGATGTATATAAAGCAGTATTCTTCATAACCACTACTATTGATGTTCCTACTTTCAATACACAGATTTTGCGAAAAATAAAAAATATGTATATGAATACGCTGGGAACGTTCTCACCGGAATTCCATCCAGCACAATTGTATCAAGCATCAATTATTGAATATAAGAATCAATGCACAAATCATCTAAAATTTTTTCGAATTCAGCGTCACTCACGCTAATGGGATCAGTTGGATCTTTCATGATGCTATCGACCATTTCATTAATCCATGCGTCCTCCTCCCGTATATCAGGAAGAACTTCGATAGGGAAATCATCATCTTTTACAATGAAGTCCAAAAGGTTGAAAACTTCCTCATCTTTCTCAGGAATTATTAATTTTCCTTGATTATTTAAGTTTATCAAAGAAGGCTCACCAATAATTGATGATGAAGATGCACCTGAGGAGGATGACGAAACTGAGGAGGAAGACGAACCTGATGAAAAACAACCTGAGGAAGGTGAACCTGAGGAAGTCGAACCTGAGGAAGTCGAACCTGAGGAAGACGATCCTAAGGGCGACGAAACTGAGGAAGAGGACCATATAGAAGCTGAAGATGAAGGAGGGGACCAAGAGGATGCAGAGGAAGATGATGCCGGAGATGAAGCCTGAGTTATTCCAAGTGAATTACATAGTTTTATAAATTCCTCGTGAGGAGGAAGGACCACTTTTAAGCGTTTACACCCAAACTTTTCACAAAATTCTTTCTCACTCTTCTCACTCTCTCTCATTCGTAAATTGCAACTTTTTATTAGAGGCAACTTTTTAGGCATTTTTCACCGTAAACAAGTAGAAACTTTGTAAATAGAAACAAATAAACAATCGTAGGCAACTTATGATTCAATAATGAATTTCACTAGAGGTATAAGAGTTATTTATACTAATTCATAATTAAGGAAGTTTGGCTGCGGATATATAATTAACGCGGAATTTGTCAATCAATAATTGAATTTAATCCTTTCAATTGTACTGTCAATTGATATAATTAATTGTATATAACACATTTTACTCATAGACTTCTATTATTTAAAAGAACATTACCCTTTTTTTCTCTTTCTTTTCTCTTTCTTTTCCCAACCATAGCTTATTATAGGAAACTTTTAACTTAGTTTATCAAACTTATTTCTCTTTCTTTTTCCCCATAGCTTAACATACAGGGCATTTCAGCTAATTTTACCGATGTTAATTGGCTATATCTTCGCCCCATAGTGACCTTGAGGTTAGATATTTTGTTTATGGCAATTTCGGCGATATTCAATTGTCATATTTCAAGTTCAAGGTCATTCAAGGTCATTTGTCGGAAATCATTCCTAATGTGTTTAGAGGTCAAAAGAAAGTCAAATCATAATTTTCAAGGTCATACTGAGCGTGTTTCATCATTCTGTCACAAGCGCTTCGTGAGATATCGCAATTCAAAATTTCATTACACTTTCGTTACATTTCTTGTTATCAAGTTATTTTTATCTATCAAATTATTAGCAAAATGTCGCATAAGTTTTCGAAAGCACAAAAAATTGATTTATTGGAATTCTTTCTGGAATCAAAAAAATCATGCACTCAAGCATTGAGGGTCGCCAGAAGTGCCTGGAATCAGAGATTCCTCAAAATCGCTCCTGGAACGTTCAGGCACCTTTACAAAGTTTTCAGAGAGTACGGCTCAGTTACATACGAGAGAAAGAGGGAAAGAGTGGTGCGGACTGAGGAAGCAATTGAGAATGCTCTCAATATTGCTGCTAAGGCATCTCAGGATGGCTTATCTCTTTCCGCATCGCCAATAGCAAGTTTGTCTGGTATGTCCTGGAAGGAGAGGGCCTTGGAATTGGCCTCCAAGATCTCCTGACCTGACTGTTTGTGACTTTTACCTCTGGGGGCGACTGAAAGACAAGTTTTTCGCTCGAAATCCTCGAACCGTAGATGACCTCAAAGAGTTCATCTATGAAGAGTTTCATGAGATTGACCAGGAAGAAATAAGAAGGGCTTGTGCTTCAGTTGCTGTTAGGTGTGCGGCTTGCGTCGCACTGGAAGGAAAGCAACTGAAGCTAAGTTGGCCTGTTTCCGGTAGGCAAGGGCATCCGGATTATCAAAACTGCTCAAATGTCATTCAAATGCAACTTCACCTCCACGCGGTAATGACTGGGTAACTCTAACGAAGCTCTGCATTGATCACGTTCTTTATGTTCAAATCAAGATATCTCACGAAGCGCTTGTGACAGAATGATGAAACTCGTTCAGTATGATAATTCGACCTTGAAAATTATGATTTGATTTTTTTTGACCTCTAAACACATTAGAAAAGATTTCCGACAAATGACCTTGAATGACCTTGAACTTGAAATATGACAATTGAATATCGCCGAAATTGCCATAAACAAAATATCTAACCTCAAGGTCACTATGGGGCGAAGATATAGCCAATTAACATCGGTAAAATTAGCTGAAATGCCCTGTAGTAAACTTTTAAATTAGTTTTCAATCAAGCTTTATTTTCATATTGTAGTATGTTTAGCGATATAATTACAAACAATTTAATTAAAATTTTTATGGAAATCAAGAAGAATTCTGAATAACTACAGAGCCATGTGTGGGATTCATCTTCATTGCATCAATTGTGCTCTGCATAAATTTTTTCTTTGCCAATTCCAGTTCAGTTAAGACCATTTGTTTCTCCATTTTTCTTAATACGTTCTTCGCACAAACGCTCCAAAAATGTTTGAAAGTATCCAGAGTTTTTCCAAGCGCTTCAAGAACATTCAAACAAGGAATTTCACTATATTTCAACAGGCTGCTAGAAAACTCATCAAAACAAGCGACCAACTTCGGACGATCACGGCTAATTTTTCACGAAAGGGTTTTAACCCTTTTACCTCAAAAAGAAGTTCCATCGCGTGATCTAGGAATTGAAGAAGAGTAACTGGCAAAAGAATAAGTAATATATTAATCCAAGTGGAAAATGTTCAGATTTATGACATTGAAGAAGAAGATGATCTATTTTATGACGTGTCAGTGGCTGACGAGGCTCAGATGTTGCAAAAGAGCCATTGGAACTTCCAACCGGTGATTTTTCAACGTATGAGTATTGTACCAAAGCATTGACAACCAAACAAGATCATCCCAATTGGTCTTTTGAAACTTTTCAACACCGATTCGGGAGGATCCACCATAAGAGTTACATACTGCGCATTATTGAGTATGTGCAAGCTAAAGGAACATTGAGGGGAAATAGCTAAAAATCACTAAAAATTGTGTAGAGTGATTCAATCGTGCCAGAGATGATTTTTTGACCATTCATTGTGATGATATCAGACGTTGGGCTATTGAAAAAGCAAGAGAGATCAATTGCCAAAGTTTTTATGCCTCTGAAACTTGGATTCAGGTTTTAAAAAGAATTCGAGGTCTTGCATCACGAAGAATCACAATATTTATAACGCGTGTAGGTAAAGCAAAGGAAAAAGGTATTGAGCGCGATGCTGCTGCAAAAATCGTTAAGAGAATGGATTTTCGCAAAAAAAAAGAATGTTGATGCATCTCAAATATTCAAAATTGATGAATCAGGTATAAAATATGAAGAACACAGAGCTAGAACTCTCTCATACATCGGAGAGAGGCAAACTCAAGCTCTATTTGGAAGGATGAACGCTACTACGCATTCTTACACAATTATGCCAGTTCTTTCCATGGATGGCCGTATACATTCTCCTGCCTTCATCTGTTTACAAGAACCTACTGGAGAATTCGGACCCAGAGTAACAATACCATCTTGTCCAAACTTGGTAATCACCGCTCTCAAGTCAGGAAAACTGGCTAAAAATCTTATGAAGAGATTTATCAACAGTGTCTATACGAAAATCGCTCCTGAAAAATCAATTCTTTTACTTGATTCGTGGCCTGGCCACAAAGATGAATCATTATACTAAGTTCCAGGGAAAACAATAAAGACGTTTTTCATTCCTAAAGGGGCTACTAGTTTGATGCAGCCATTGGACGTGTATACATTTCGTCAGTCGAAGGATTTCGTTGAAAGATTTCAAGAAAGAGTCATTCTCGACCGTGCTCCAGGCAATTTAGAATAAATGAAACAACTTAGCAGCGGAAAGCAAAAAATGGCGGAGGTCAGTCCGGTAAACATATGTTCAACTTTGACCTTATTTATCACACTTATCCCTAAAAATCCTTCAAAAAATCTTGCAAACCAAAATAATTTCAAAAAACCATCAAAAAATCCCAAAAAAACATATAAGAATGGTCAAAAAAACATAAAAAACAATTAAAAACATTTAACAAAAAAAAAGCCCAAAGCTGGTATCGAACCCATGACGTCTTCTTAACTTACAACTCTCTCACTCACTCTCTCACAGTTGGTCATTGAAAAAAATTCGAAAAAATCACTCCTTCTATGGGAAAATCGAGTTTTGAGCCTGCATTTTGTCATTGCTTATAACTTTTTTATTTCTCGCTTGATCTTGTCGCACTGAAGTGCGTTGGATTTGTCTGATTAAAACACTCAAATTCATTAATTTTACTCAGATTTTACCATTGAAAAGTTATCCATTTGCGACAAATTTGACTATGCTTAACTTGATTCTTTTAGGCTTATAACTTGAAAACAGTAATAGATAAAGGTATACTTCTTTGATAATAAATTATCACGTCAAAATTATCTTTCCATTTTTTAAGGTCAATTTTTTTCCAGTTATACATAGCTTTTGTTGGACTGATAGTATGAAAGTGTCTAAAGTCTGTATCTAGTGTCTTAAAGTGAACTTTCAGATTATTATTGAGTTTGCCCTTAAGTTTGACTTTGATTTTTGACTTTAGGATTAAAATTGAGTTTTAACTTAACATTAACTTGGCGAAAATACATTTCTTACTGATTTTGCTCATTCTGTTTTTTGTTTCTATTCAGAAATGTATCGAGTTACTGCTGGTTCATCTCCTACTAGTTTTAAATTCATCCGGTTATCTGATGTCGAGGTTCAGGCTGATGAAACAGCGCAAATAACAAATGAATCTGCTATTGAATATGAGGAAGCAATTAACTTTGCTGACATCAAAATTTCAATATTTGACTTTTTTCTATTTTATCTTTTGCCTATTACCTGCATGTCAAGTACATAATGTGCTTGCTTGTATAAAAGCAATCGATGATGAAAATAATATTGTTGTATCTAGAAGATTATTCTTCAACATATTATCTGAATTTTCAAGTTTAATAGTTGCACCAATTCTATCTTATCTGCCTAACTGATTAAATTGCATTTACATTATTTTTATTTTGTTTCGATTCATTCTTTTTTCCATTTCGCTATTACAGTAATGAAAATAATCGCTGAGAAAGTTTCTTTTGTAACACCTCCGGTTGGAAAGGGTCAAAGAATTCCTTCGAAAGATGATGCTTTTTTGAAACACCAATCAAAAATTAGCTTTACTATAACCAAAATTCCGTCTAATGAACCTTGTCTACTGAAAGCACAAATAACCCGTGTAAGGCGTCAAGATATATAAAATGTTTTGAAAACATACACAAAAAACTCGAAATGAAAACTATTCACTTAAATTATGCACCAAATTCAGGAAAATTAAAGAAGTACAAGAAATATATGAAGTGTATAAGA